CTACAACCGCTGCAAAGGAGGTGTCGACAACCTGGATAAGGTATGTGGTATGTCCCATCAATTTCAAATCGATTAACTGAATTTATATTTGTCTGAGATATTTGGGGCTGTATTATTCAGTTTTCTTTTTTGCATTTATAGGCCATGAAGATTAAATATGTATTTATGTATTCTGAGGAATAGCCTAATTTTTGTAGCCTATTCAGTCATTTATTTTTCTTTGGTCTTTTTCGCTTTTAGGTTGTCGGCACCTACAGCTGCAGAAGAAGGACCTATCGGTGGCCACTGGTTCTGTTTTATAATATGCTGGATGTCTCATCATTTGGACAGCCGTCGATCCTAGTGATGGCCAAATGAGGCCTCATGAACCACTGTCTTTATTTTCTGAAGCCACCAGATGGCGCTGTGTGTTCAACAAAGGTTTGAACATTGCAAGTCCTTCAGCCTTTAAACCAAGAGCACCATCTCGTGGGATCAGAAAATAAAGAAAGTGGTTCATGTGGCCATCATTAGTCGATCCCTCCTGGATTTTTTTATTTTTTTATTTTTTTTAATAAATTTTGGTGTTGATCTAAGTGAACTTGTATTTTACTTTATTTCTGGAGCAAAATAAGATAATTAGAAGGTAAATACTTTCATACTACATAAAAAAAAATATTGCTAACAATTGACATATCACAGACTGTTAGAATGAAATTTAAAAAATAAATCCGCTCAGCATTTATTATATGCGAAATAATCTATTTCATTTTTTTTATATACAAAACATGCTTTCTGTAAAGAAAATGACATGGTTTAAATTCTGAATATGAACAAATATTTGATAGTTATCATCAGGACTAAAGTTGGTTAAAAGATTTAAGCAAAAAAAGTGAAAAAAAAAAGTATAATATTTTACAGCTTTTTAAGGAGTGGGACCATATTTGGCCACAAGGGTAATGAGAGTAACAAATTTTAAAAAAAATCTGACACTGCACAAAAAATAAAAATGCATCAAAATCTGTGTTGTTGTTAATGACACATCCCAGCCTGCAATAATCCCCTCCAAAAAAATTCCACTCAGCATTTATTATATGGGAAATAATTCATTTTATATGTTTTTTCATATCAAAATGAGCAAATATTTGATAGGTATCATCAGGACTGAAGTTGGTTACAAGATTTAAGCAAAAAAAAAAAGTGGAAAAAATATTGATATATGATATTTTTATAGCTTGTAGCATTGACCACAAGGGTAATGAGAGTATCAATTTTTATAAGAGACTTTTTGAGGCCATATTTTGAGAAAATTTAAGACATTTGAAGACATTTTAAGGATCCGTAGACACCCTGATTATGGGCATTGCCATTTTTTCATCTTCAGGGCCATTACATGTAAAATGTTCCTGTTATTTTGTCCACTTAGTGCGTCAGTATGAATAAATTCTCCGATACATATTTTTTTCCTTAGTCCGATGGCTTGTGCTTGGCACCAGTCTCCGTCAAGAAAGTCACTTGCTTATCTATAAACCCTTTATATTCCCCTTTGAACCCCAAAAATGCCACAAAGAATCAGAAACACTTGCCGAGCAGCCTGTGATTACCACCCCCCCCCCCCCCCCCCCCCCCCCCCCCCCCCCCCCCCCACACCCGGTGTTGTCGACACCCTGTCAGCTTGCCAAGCAATAGAAACATGCCGGCCAAATCATGTAGAGGAGAGCATTAAGCTTTGGCCAGACAGCCTGCTGCAAACCATGTAATCCCCTGCTAGTAGCCAGCAGCCAGAGAGGGAGAGGCTGCTGCTGGGCTACAGTTGAGCCCGGCTGGCAGCAGTGCCGAGCTTTGGCAGGTGAGATACAGCTGAAGTGGTTGAAAATAAGACGAACAGCTCGCAGGATGGAGAGGGAATTTGCAACAAAACATGATAGGCACACCAAAGGTCAGAGTGTTCGCTCATGATGCTGAAAAACAATCCTATAAAGTTTATGAAATATAAAGGAAGCGAGTTCATCTACAGGAGGTGGACAGAATAACAGAAACAACTTACAGTAAGACCCTGGAAAACATATTTCAACCCTGAGGCTGCATAATGGTCATTCATCATGCCACGAAGAGCAAAGAATGAATCAAAATTTTGAGTCAGTGCTAGTGAAGATCTACTTTAAAGGGCTGTAATTCTTTATCAGTTTATACATGCATTCAGGATTTTCTGAGACTCCCCCCTCCCCCTGCAGTGTTACATAACTTTGCAGTGTTTGCAGCTAATGCAACAGCAGCAACAATCTGGCCTCTCTACTGGCATTAAAGCTGACATACTTTACACTGCTGATTGTATGACACACTTGTGTGACTTGCTTTGATAGTTGAGCAGCAGAGAGGAGTTTCAAAAAGCATGATGATAGTTGACGAACAAAAGACTGGTGTGGTAAAGGAAGACTGGGATTACAAACCAAAATTTGTACTGATTAAAACGTCTCTTAGCAAAGACTACAGAGCCCCCAAAAGGTGATTTTTTTTCAACCTTGTTTGCAGAGGTTACTTGTCTTGTGGGAACAAGATTTTTATCTTGTGGAAACAAGATATTTTGTGGGAACAAGTTATTATACACACAAGGTAATTACCTTGTACGCATATGGTAATTATCTTGTGGGAAGAAGATAACTTATGGGAACAAAATAATTGTATTGTGTGCACAAGGTATTTTGTGGGAACAAGTTATATCCTATACTCACAAGTTAATTATCTCGTATGCATATGGTAGTTATCTTGTGGGAACAAATCATTTATCTTGTGGGAATAACTTATTTTTCTTGTGTGAACAAGTTATTATCTTATACGCACAAGTTAATTAGTCTTGTACGCATATGATAACTATCTTGTGGGAACAAAACAATTATAGTGTGTGCACGAGTTATTATCTTGTGGGAACAAGTTAATTACTTTGTGGAAACAAGGTGATTTGTGGGAACAAGGTATAATCTTATATGCACTAGTTAATTAACTTGTATGCCTATGATAATTATCTTTGTGAGAACAAGATTATTATCTCGTGTGTACAAGTTATTATCTTGTGAGAACAAGTTAATACCTTTGTGAAAACAAGAAGATTTGTGGGAACAAGTTACTATCTAATATGCACTAGTTAATTATCTTGTATGCATAAGTTAATCACCTTGTGGGAACAACTTACTTATCTTGTGCCAGCAAGATAGCTTGTGGGAACAGAAAAATTATCTTGTGGAAACAAGATATTTTGTGAGAACAAGTTCTCTTATACGCACAAGTTAATTATCTTGTTTGCATTTGATAAAAATCTTGTGGGAACAGCTGATTTATCTTGTGCACACAAGATGACTTGTGGGAATGAGATAATCATCTTGTGGGAATAACTTATTTTTCTTGTGCCCACAAGTTATTATCTTGTGAGAACATGATATTATTTTGTGGGAACAAGTTATTATCTTATACACATAAAATTATCTTGTGGGAACAACTGATTTATCTTGTGTAATTATATTGTTCACACGTTATTATCTTGTGGGAGCAAGTTCTTCATTTTGTGCAAACAAGATAACAAAGGGAACAAAATAATTATTGTGTGCAAAGTCGTGATCTTGTGGGAACAAGTTGATTGACTTGTGGGAACTACTCATTTATTTTGTGCGTACAAGATAAAAACTTGTGATAACTAGATAATTATCATGTGGGAACAGTTCATTTGTCTCATGCGCACAAGAGACCCTCACCGGCACTGACTCAAACAAACTCAAAGGGATCAAGATAAAAAGTGTGACATCACACCAGTCGGCTCATGAGCTATCACAGAATATTAATACAAGCTTCCTGCTGTGTGATTATGTTCAGGTGTTGTAGTTTGTGACGAGCTTCAGTAAGTGGTGTTTACTGCAGGGAGTGTCACATTTCACCCTCTGAAGAGGTGAAAACAACTTCAGTATATAAACACGTTTGTTTTAAGCAGCTTTCTCACAATGCAATATCTTGTTTTGTCATAACAAACAAACATTTATCCCACAGGTTTTTTTTTTGTTTTGGTTTTTTTGGCTGCCTCCATTTTTTAGAAACATTTTACCTCCTGACCAACCCCTCTTCCGTTTTTGAGCCCATCTTGGGTTTTGCCAAAAAAAATATTCCAAGAAAACCAAACTTTTTGGAGGTGTAGTAGATGTCCGCCCACAGTCACTGACTCCATCTCTCATAGTTCCTCGACGACCCTCTTCTCTCCAACAGACACAGACAGACAGGCAGGCAGACCTCCACCGACCCGAATACAGGCACAATGGAGTGAGTGCTGGCTGCTTCATGACCCGATCACATTGTGTATTCTGCTGTCTCATATCCACTATAGTGGCTTCTGTCTCCCTTTTAAAAGTGCAAAAACACATTTAGATGTGTGAGTGTGACAAAAGTACCCCTCTTTGCTGAAACCCACCTCTTATTGTAGGAAATAGAAAGTAGCACCTTGAATTTTCCATGTGTATGTCAATGCTGACGATGCCCTTTTGTTAATGTAAAGATTGGTCCATGTGGCCATCAGTAAGTGAGCATCAAAGGTCTTAATGCTTAAACGATAAGTCGATTAATTGATAACGTAATTGCTGCTTTTCTGTGTTTTACATGACTGTAAATTTGATATATTTTTGTTTTGTTGTACAAAATAAGCAGTTTGAAGATGTCACCTGTGGCCCTGCAAAATTATGATGGGCATTTTCTATCAACAGTAACAGCCCTCTGCAACTTTCACCCACTTCAAGTCCACTTTTCTTCAAAGTTTTGACACATGCTAAGAGTTTAAGCACAGTAGTTAAAGCCCCGCTCCTAAAGCGCTTCAACACTCACAACTCACATTGTACTTGGTGCAGAGATAATCTAAAAATCATAATGCAAGACAAAAACAAATCTAACATCTCACTCTACTCTTTTTCTCTACCCATCCTCCACCTCTCTCCGCCTGTCCCCCTGTTCCTTGTGTCTCGTCGGTCATCGTCCTCCGCCGCCGCCAGCCTCATGGCCAGCAGCAACGTGACCAACAAGACTGACCCTCGCTCCCTCAACTCCCGCGTCTTCATCGGCAACCTCAACACCCTCCTGGTCACCAAGGCCGACGTGGAGGCCATCTTCTCCAAGTACGGCAAGGTCGTCGGCTGCTCCGTCCACAAGGGCTACGCCTTTGTCCAGTACGCCAATGAGAGGAACGCCAGGGCCGCTGTGGCCGGCGAGGACGGCCGCATGATCGTGGGACAGGTGCTAGGTGAGTTGGAGAGGGGGAGATGGGTAATAAAGGAATGGAGATACAGAGTCAAGAAAGACAGTACTGTGTGTTGTCACAATACTGGAATATCTTACTTTGATACAATACATTCAAGAATAGTGATTTTTGATACCATGGAGACAATTGGCATGAAATTAGATTTATTAAAAAATATGAATATAACAAGGCTCTAATGTTCCAGCAGGATAACGCACCATGTCACAAAGCTCAAATCATCTCAAACTGGTTTCTTGAACATGACAATGAGTTCACTGTAATCCAATGGCCTCAACAGTCAACAGATCTCAATCCAATAGAGCACCTTTGGGATGTGGTGGAACGGGAGATACACATCATGGATGTGCAGCCGACAAATCTGCAGCAACTGTGTGATGCTATCATGTCAATATGGACCAAATCTCTGAGGAATGTTTCCAGGACCTTGCTGAATCTATGACACCAAGAATTATGGCAGCTCTGAAGGCAAAAGGGGTCCCACCTGGTACTAGCAAGGTGTACCTAATAAAGTGGCCGGTGAGGGTATAGTGTTTGCGTGAAAAAAAAAAAGTCTGAGGTTAAATGTGTACAAGGGTGCAGTGCTATTTGTGTAAGAAGAATATTTGGTTGCCTGGCAACCTCATGGTGTCAGCAAGACTCCAGGAAGTTACTGTGCCAGTGTTTCACTACCCCATCACCACAGTTAAACATGGAAATAATTCACAGCACATGCTTTTAAAACTTTATTTCCTGTACCTGCTTGTTTAAAATCAAAGTCAGTGCTGGAGCTTATCCCAGCATGCACTGGGCAAAAACAAGGGAAGTGTCAAGGGAACCAGCCATGAATCTGTTTCTGGGTCACAAAACAGTCACAGAAACATATATTAAGTCTCACAGTTACAGTTTACACTCCTCAGTTCAGCTTCATATTCAAACACAGGACCTTTTCTCTGTTCTGAGACATCAACAGCTGAGCCACTGTGCTGCCCTCTAGTGCTACAAACCTGTAACTTACTATTTCAAAACATCAACATCTCCCACTTAAGTAAAGACAAGCAGCTGTTTTGTAGTCTTTATTTTCTGACCTGTCTGATGCTCAACGCAGGTCAAAACAAATGTGATTAATTATTTGCAAATACCACCTGGTAGGGCTAAAACCTGCGTTAGTCCTCCGAACCAAAATACCATCAGGTGAAGGGAAAGAGTGATAAAATGTGCTAATTGAAATTTCACACTCCACAACATATTTCTGGCTCTTTCTCACACTCCTGGAGACTCTAACACCTCCTTGACTCCACATTTTCTCCTCCCTCAGACATCAACCTGGCAGGCGAGCCGAAACCTCACAGATCGAAGACAGTGAAGCGTTCTGCAGGAGACATGTACAGGTGTGTACATGAGCAATTCCAGTAATTCTGCAGTCTGACAGCCTTTGGAGTGCAGAGTAAGAAAGGTGTAACTTCTTGTCAAAGATAAGTGCCTTTTGCTGGAGTCAATCTCTGCTCTTTCCACAGTTCATCTATCGATTTGGACTATGACTTTCAGAGAGATTACTATGACAGGTAAGCTGCTTATTCTTTAAAAGAATAATTGCTCCTGTTTGTATCCATATACCTGGTGTCCTTATTGTCCAGAGTGCATCACGTCCTCATTTTTATGGTTTACTTTCAAATATTCTTCATTTCTACACCTTCAACTTGTGGCTTGGACCAACTTAGGGTTTGCTCAGCAATGCCCTGTTTGAATTAAAGGGAAAATTGCTACCTTTCATGTGGATGTCTAATTCATATTGATGGTAAATATCGTTGATTGAAGCAATAATTCCTTGGTGCTTGCTGTACTGACAGAGAAAGCTGAGTTCGCAGCTACAAAATTCTTCCTGCATCCGGCGCCGTCATTGGATGTAGCAGCAAACTATAGGCTATTTCAGCTCGGACTGAGTAGCCAGGGATCGGGCTCAAGATGCCACTCAAAAACCAAACTTCCCTATTCTCTTTGCTTCTATTGCAAACTCGCTACATTTCCAACTACCAAAATGGCATACCAAAGAATGAGTGTGGAGGATAGATGAGGATACATTTGACAGTATGTTGGGTGACTTTGAGAATCAGCAGTATTCATTCAAGCCAGAGTATACGGCTGACGAAATGCAGCTGAGAGAGGCCCAGGCTGTGGATGCATGAGCCGTGTAAGAGGATATGGTTGGCTAGGACCCTCCAGGAACTGAGCTGCTGAAAGCAAACTCCAACTGGTGTTGCCTTTGCTCAAATTGCCCTCCGATGCCAACAGAAGCTGAGTCACTCTGCTGCAGTGAATGTCAGCGTGGACAGATTTGTTGGATGCTGTTGACGACACCAACCCCAGGAGAACCTGTGTGTGCGCTTTCCTGCTTTACTATGCGTAAAAGTTTTACTCCCCCCTGGACAGAGGTATGCTAGAGACCTTCTTTAGGCAGCAGGCTAAGCAAAGTATTCCAGACGTCCCTATCCCCAGCAACACTTTCCAGCTCTTCCTGGGGGACCCCAAGGCATTCCCAGGCCAGATGAGATATGTAATCCCTCCAGTCTGTTCTGGGTCTGCCCCAGGGCCTGCTACCAGCCTGGAACACCTCTAACAGGAGGCACCCAGGAGGCATTCTGATTAGATGCCCGAACAACCTCAACTGACCCCTTTTGGTGGCTCCACTCCGAGCCCTCCGAACTCCTTACCCTATCTCTAAGGCTGAGCCCAGCCACCCTGGGGACAGAGGGGGCAGAGGACGACTAAATGAGTATTTTGTCACCTGTGCTTTGGCCAACAACATAATAGCAACAGGCTACCAGGTTAGTAGTAGCTATGGGCGTAAGAGAAGAGTGCCCAACGTGTCTTGTACTTGTAGGCAATGTTGGCACAGATTCCGCAAGCAGGAGAACTCAGCTTTCTTGGTCATGCACTGACGAAATTCTTGCTTAAACTGACTACAGTTACCGTCAATACTGACTGGATATCTACATAAAAGGAGAATTTTCCTTTTAAAGTGTCAATGTGCAAATGCAAATATTAAACTAAACATTCTTGAAAAATCCACATTAGATTTTGACAGTGATACCACTTATGCACCTCTGTACCTCAGGATGTACTCCTACCAGTCCCGGGTGCCTCCTCCCCCTCCTCCCCTGTCCCGCGCCGTCATTCCCTCAAAGCGTCCGAGGGTCAGTCTGAGTGGAGGAGGGAGCCGACGAACCAAAACCAGCTTCTCCTCCTCCTCCAAGACCAGCCAGAGGACCTCCCGTACAAGTAGGTACCACAGTTAAGTCGGCTGTCCAGTGCTGCTCAAATCTGCATGAATGTCGTTGTGACTTTTTTCGACTGCACTTCCTTCCACAGTGAAGGTAGATGATCTGCAGACCATCAAGAGAGAGCTAACGCAGATCAAACACAAGGTGGACTACCTGCTGGAGAGCCTAGAGCGCATGGAAAAGGACCACAGCAAGAAGTCAGGTGGGCCTCAATGACTCGATAGTAACCCAAGGTTTATACCAGTGTGCAGAAATTAAATAAAAACAACGATGTGAATTAGGGCTGCATGATATATTGAGAATTTTCCTGCATTGCAATCTCAATATGCGTGATATAGATATCGCAAAACATTCCTTGAACTGTCATAAATAGTATATTTACATGTGCCATGCATTCACACATTGCATGTCAATATATTTGGCCAATCAGATGGAGCCATACTGCCCGAGATGCGAGGGAGTGACTGAGGACAACCAATACGTGTTGAAACGGTGTCGTTGGGTCCTACTAGTTTTGAAAGTATTTCTTATGCCACAGAAACCACTGAGAGCAAAACTTGTGTTTTAGATGCTGAAACTTGTGTGACAATGTCCATGATATCGGGACTCACTCAAATGACTACCTTTAGGTTCCTGCGGCCAGCGGTAGCCGTACCCGGAGGCATTATGTTTATGGGTTGTCCGTCTGTCCACCCATACGTATGTCTGTCCATCCGTCAGTCCCATTCTCTTGAATGCAATATCTCAAGACCGCCTTGAGGGAATTTCCTCAAATTTGGCACAAACGTTCACTCAGGGTGCTTTCACACCTGCCCTCTTTGGTTCGGTTCAATCGAACTCAAGTTCGTTTGCCCCCTAATTGCGCTTAATTTGGGCAGGTGTGAACACAGCGCTCACACTCAGGTGCGCACCAAAACAACTGGACTGAGACCTTCTTGAAGAGGTGGTCTCAGTCCGATTACAAATGACCTTCGGACCAAAGCAAGACAACTCTAGGTCTGAAAGCAGCCTTAAGGCCCATTTATGCTCCCTTTACGTACGAAAATGTATACGTCCGTTTCAAACGATGTTGCCGTCACTGCCCACATACTTCCATGCGCCCTTTACGTTGGCATGGATGTTAACCAATATATCCACTAGAAGGCAGCCCAGCGTCAAAAGTTTATGACAACAACAAACTCAAAAACAAACATGGCGATGACTGTGGAGGAGATATTGATAATGTACCTCTTGCATAAAAGACAAAAACAGAGGCAGCGTTGTAGGAGGCGGTGGTCAGTGAGGCAGTTAAATACATAACGACTGGAGGACGGAGAATTCTTTTCTCTAGTACTGCCGATGAGAGAAACTGAATTGTTATTTCTTCTTCATGTCTCACTAGAGCTGCGTATCGGGTAGTGACAGCAAAACTGCCCCCACGGTTTCTGGTGGTACTGCTCCGTTTGGCCCGTATCCGTAAGCTTTATGGAAACGTGCAGAAATACAGACGAAATGAACGCGGAGCACGGACAGAAGGCTCCGTTCGTATCCATATTTAACGTTGAGCATAAATGGGCCTTTAGACTCAACGATGAACTAATTAGATTTGGTGGTCAAAGATCAATGTCACTGTGACCTTGCGCCTGTCTCATTCTCAAGAACACCTGAAGGGAATTTCTTTAAATTCGGCACAAACATCCACTTGGACTAAAGAATAAACTGATTAGAATTTGGTGGTCAAAGGTCAAAGGTCAAGGTCACTGTGACCTCACAAAACATATTTTTGGCCATAATTTAAGAATTCTTTTGCTAAGTATGACAAAACTTCACACAAATCTAAAATAATAAAATACAATAATGATGTGATGACATTTTATATCCAAAGGGTCAAAGGTCAGCTTCACTGTGACATCATAATTTTCTGCATAAGATACGTTTCTGGCCATTACTTACTGTCATAATTCAGGAACAAAAGGGTCATTTGGTCAGATACTGAATTGGTGTCTCCAATCTTGAAACTGTGCTGATATATAGATCTTCTGTGCTGCCGGGGGGAAGATGTGTGTGAAGCATCCATGTTTTCACAGACATGGATGTAAACTGTAAGACAAAAAAACACAATATTCAACAAGGCTATCGCATATTACATTTTCCTGATATCGTGCAGCCCTAATGTGGATGTTCTTAGTTAAATCAGAGAAGCGTTTTATAAATCAGCCCTGTGGTCACTATAAGAGTTTCCTTGCTTTATTTAACAAACGTTCCCGCTGTCTCCCTCCATGTACCTAGAGATGAAGAGCTGCAAACCAGAACCAGGTGAGGTGTCCCCCCTCAACTCCTCCACCTCCAGCAAGAAAGATGACAGCCTGAAACGGGGGCTGAATGACTCAGAGGAGGAGGGAGATCTGCTGGAGGACGAAGACGAGGTGAAGACGAGCGGGGATTTGTTTATTTAAGGCTCGCCATTAGAATGAGCGATGAGGAGAGGAAGGGAACTATTTACAAAAGCTAAGAGCTTGTGTCATAATTTTTTTTTTGTCCACTCTTTCTGCCTGTGCAGATGAAAAGCAGAGGGAGAGAGGAGGAAGAGGAGGAGGAGGAAGGCGAGCAGGAGGAAGGAGAGGATAACGGTGATAGCGCCAACGGAGACGAGTCCTAAACACTCCACAGAAATACACGCACATACACAACACGAATTGTGTATGATTGTATCTCCACACCAGACTTGTACACAGTGGTCATGTGCTCATATCTGCTGAACTGACTGGACATTTATATACAGTGTATTGTAGATATTGCTTTCTCACACACTGACACACACACACATACACAAATTCATAAATATGTCAAGTACTTGTAATATGTCAAGAATTTTCCAAGTTTTCTTTTAAGACGCTAATTTGAGTTTTCCTTTTTTTCTGACATTCTTTTATTTGACTTTTATATGGACCTTTTATGCGATTGGATAAATGCAAACTAAGATGTGTTACATTCACACTGTTCAGTTGAGGATAAATGTAACACCTTATAACATTGTGTGTCTGAACTCAGGGCTATAAGCCACTCCAGTATGAAACGTTTAAGTAAGAATTTCTGTTATTATTTTTTTTAGATGACTGTGTTGACTTTATGCCAAAAAAGATTTGAGCTAATCAGTGGCTGAAAATGTTTCAAACTTTAAAAAGCTACTCCTGATCCAGCAGCTGTACAGCTACCTCCTAGCCAGCAGGTGGCAGTGCATCATAACAACCGGCCACACGAAACACCACGAGAACTTCACCTTCTGCTTGTGAGATAACATGAGCATGTATTAAAAAAACCTCATATCCAACTGCACAAAATGCTCAGATGAAATCCTTATTGCTCTGAAAATAGTTTTGTTTGTTGCCGAGGTGTTGCGACCTCAACTGATCTCGACTTGTGTAATGCAGTGCTACTCCATGTTTGTGTGTTTCTGTTGATGTTTTGTTTGTCATTCGACTGCACTGGTGAAAGTGAATAAAACATGTTTTCCAAGTTGGAATCTGTTTGAGCTTGTGTCACTGTCCACACGGATGCATTCAGGTGCACTGTGACAGGATGTCCACAGGTCCTTAATGGGTCTTAAAATGTCTGAAATTCAACTGTATAAATATCAGGCCCTAAAAGTCATTAAATAGCCTTAGATATGAATTTGTGAGGTCTCAGTTGCCACAACTGTGTAATTTCATTCATCCATATTTTGATTTCCTTTTGTCAAGATGAGTTCTGATGTTACAAATCTTCAAATCTTCATCTTTTTACCTCACACTTGCACGTGCCTTTTGCCAAAATGCAGATTGACGCAACTCATTCCTACACAGACCTACTCTGCATGGGACCATGGATATAATTGCACCTACAATACTTGAATATGAAAAAAACATGTATTTGTCCATGAATTAGTCTTAAATTTGGCTAAAAAATAATCTTAAAAAGCATTGAATTTAAGTGTCTGATACCTGTGGACACGTAGCTTTTAAGAGCAAAGCACTCAGGTTGAGGTGGGACTTCGATTTAAGTTATGACCTCGTCAAAAACTCATGTTGAGCTAGTTTTGCTTTTATTTTTCCATGTTTTTTAGATATATGTCTCTTAAATTTGTGTAAAAGTACTCTTGTTATCAACAGGTTTGTTGTATTTGTTAGAGGGCAAAAATCTAAAAGACAGACATCTCGAAATTAGTTTTCAAATTTGGCTTTGTTGGCCCCACAACAGCCCAAAAAAGTTATAATAATAAAAAGTTATAATAATAAGTTTTATTTACAGGGCACTTTTAATGGTACTCAGAAACAATTTACATTAATTGAAATCAATCATAAAATAGACTACAATAAATGTTAATGGAGCACAGGTCCCATAATGCTTTGGGAGACACAGGAAGTAAAGTAGAGTCAGTGGGCCACATCTTCAGCCCTGTGTTTTTGGTTATATTTTGGGTGTTTTTGGCAAATTAGCAACATTAAAAGCAAGCCGAATTGAGTATTAGCAGTTCTTGTATGAAAATATACCGAAAAATATAGGACAGCTGTCACTGACTTTATTTTATATTGAAGAAAACTTAAAAACGTGATGATTCTCTACGGATCTTCAGGAGCGCCTATTTTCTACGATTTCTACCTGTTTATTCTGGACGGACAACGGATAAAATCACACCTCGTTTAAATGGTAAGTCATACTGAATCTAAAAATGTGTGTTTCATGTCTGTGTGTTCAGTTTTGACCAAGTTATGACTCCGAAAAAGACGATTACTTCTGGCGCAAAAGGTTTGCCGGAAGTCGTTTCCTGCGTGCCGCACAATTTGAAATTCGATGTCAAACTATGGAAAGCTTTGAAGTAAATGAGAAAATAATGATGTTTGTGTTTGTAATTTGGGTGCTCTGAACTTTTAAATTACTTGAACCTCGAATTAAAAAGATGTTATCTGTAAACTCTTATGCAGTCTGCAGTCTCAAAAGGAAAAACTGAAATCTGCTTGAACAAATAAAAAAGCATCTTCACCCACAATTTCATTACCGATGACCAAAGCTCGATCAATACACAGCTGAGGCCTTGTGGCTCAGTAATGAAGGCAACAACAGAGAGCTGGCAGGAATAAAGAGGAAGGAGGGATAACTAATCAATAAGCAGCCATCTTCAGGGTGAGCTGTGATTAAGGAGCGAACCACAGGCAGACAGAGGGGGGATGGATAATGATGGAGGGGTGGATGGAGACTGGATGGGTGGATGAACAAGCCACAGATGACTGGAGACAGATGGAGGGAGTAGATGACAGATGGGGAGATGACAGGACGAGCGGAAAAGATTTTGTGGTGTGTGCTGGGGGGGGTGAGAGATGTGGAAATGGTGTGTAACAGTGAAAGTGAGTGATTGCAGAGCAGTGCCTTTTGTTTAAACCTCATCTAAGCACTGGCGGTTGTCTTTGTGCAACGATTTGTTGGATAGGAAATGTTTCATGGCTTGTCAGTGAAGATAGGAGTGCATGTTTAGGGTATTAGTGCTTGTTAGCATCACAGTTGAGGCTTTGATAGATTTACAAGTAGGGGAGAACAGGGCTGGTCGTCACACTTTTTACTTTCATTTGAACTAGGGACATCCGCTTCAGTTCATTTTGTTTTCAATAGACCGACAACCATTTACCGGAAATTGACAGGTTGATTTAAAAAAAGAAATGCCAGGAAATACAAGCGGCCTTCCTTTTAGCCTGGCGCTCCATTGGCTGGGTGAAATTTAGCGCCGCATTTCAAAGCGCTATCCATTTAGAGGTAGTGATGGCCAAATGAAGCCTCATGAATCACTTTCTTTATTTTCTGACCCCACCAGATGGCGCACGGTTTAAAGATAAAGACTGAAGGATTTGCAATGTTCAAACCTTTGTTGAACAGACAGCGCCATGTGGTGGCTTCAGAAAATAAAGACAGTGGTTCATGAGGCCTCATTTGGCCATCACTATTTAGAGGTGGTGAAATGTTAATTGTTTTGTAGTGTAAATCTCTTGCCTTTTCATTTGAATTTCTGTCAGACACCCTGCTAGCCACGGTAGTGCCGAAATATTGTGCCCACTGCCCACCCTCCGGTCGCCACTGGTTAGCCTTGGCTGCTCTGCACTGCACACTGTCCAGGTCGGGTGGGAGCTAGCTACTGGTGCCACATTCAGCAATTACTGCTGGTAAAGGGGACGGGGTTGCCACGGAGATATGTTGGCCACCCTCCGGTCTCACCTGATGTAGCCCCGGTGAGTAAGGGGCCTGTTTTTTGCGCCTTCGAATTAATTCTTTTCAATGTAGATGCACAGCAGGTGTGCTAAAACGCAAGGGCGATGCAGTCGTGGTGCCCACGCATTCCGGAGTGGCTGTTTTTCAGGACATGATGCCTGTGCCCTGAGATCCCCCTCCGTTCTTCTGTAAATATCAGTCTGTGGTAAATATAGAGAAGTTGAACATTTTGGCGCAGGGCTACCAGAGCTTTTCATCTGTCCCATGGATGATAGGCCTACACACTTATAAACAACGTCTGGAAGAAAATCAGTCTGCATTCAGGATTTTAGAAAAATAGGCTATACAATGCTTGTTAAGGTTGCTTAGCAACCTCGGACATAACCTGCCACCACGCTCTTGAAAGCTAGCACAAAAAGACCCAACAGAAGCACCCAGCCCCCGACCTCATGTTTTCCAGGTGGTTAAAGACGTGGCATGTGTACGGCCCCTAAGAGGCTTCATTTTGAGTCGCAAACCTCCTTTAGCGTAGTTCACTATATCAGCACCGCTACCCGTGATGACCATGCTAACAGAGCTAACAATGACTTACTCACCAGGGTGACCTGGGTGGGGGGGGTTCAGAGGGTGGGCACATTGTTTCCACAGCATCACTCCTGGGTTGGGACTGCTTAACTAGCAGTAATTGCCAAATGAGCTACCTAGGTTCCAGCATACCTGGGTGGTGCACATTGAAGTAAACTCAGGAATATCAGATTTAACCTACAGACCAACATGTGTAACCGGTCAGATATTCTCTGCAGTTAACCATTGACATCCCTACTTTGAACCCCTCAAAAACTGTACCTGCAATAGATACCCTGTCAATGTGTAACCATAGACTGTAAAAATAATGGGCGCAGCCACTGTGACGTTACCCATTAGTTTGTGGACACCCATTTTGAATCCTTGAGTATGACATTATGGCTGATGCCATCTTGGTTTTTGGAGCCAGAAATGACCATATTTGGACGAGAGGCATGGTAGGTATGACCTTACCTTCCTTTCACTTATTCTGTTTGAAAGACATGGACGGGGAGATCAACACCTCCGCCCGCTTGACACAAGCATACTCGGGTGTACTATAAGCGGAGCGGACTCCGCGAGGAATGTCCGCAGTCATTCGGGCTTTCATAGTCGAGCACACTTCCGCGTTGTAGTTTCCTGTAAAAATGTCCGTGAAAAATCCCCGCGATGTGAAAAATGCATGCCAAGCAGTCACTGGTGCGCGGAGCGGAGTCCGCGTGGTCGTAGTCTGAGCTTTGCGCGCGCAGGGCTTGCGGACGTCCGCTTTGAGTCTGCGCGGACCTCCGCGGAATCCGTTCCGCGTATGTTCTGCCTGAGTATGTTCGGGCCGAGCGGTGAACAAACCAAACAACATAATGTCAGGAGAAATTGAAAAGATATGCCGTCTATGTAAAGTCAACTTGCTAATTGAGGAGCCATTACATGTTCAAGAGTTTTATAAAGCTGCTCAAACGCCAAAGAGAGGCTATATATAAGTGAACGTTTCAGCAGCGATGCGTAATTTGACAAGCATCCCCAACTGTGATTTTTTGCTAGCAACCAAGCTAGTAAGCACATGTTGAAGCCTAGCTAAGAAAAAACTATCTAAGCTACAGTCGTCCCTGCATACTTTGTAATGGTTATAATTGTTCTATAAACAATTAACAATTGTTAAAGCCTTGATGAGAAACAAAGAAGAGCTGGATATATTTTGACATGAAGTAACCCCATAGGCAACCTCTGACCCCAATTCTGAGTTTAGTACTAACATTTTTTAACAGCACCCTCTAGGGAGCAGATCAAATGAATGTGACAACCAACCCATGTGACATGTCTTCGAGAAACTATGATCTAATAAACAGATTACATTCACGTTCAACAACGGGCCTGGAACACTGTCACTCTTTAATCCTCAGCGATCAGTGACAGCACTTTCAAAGAAGCCATCAAACAAATCTAAATCAGACGATGCTTTCAACCTTTGAAACATTCATTCACATCTTACAGGCTCTGCCGGATGATGTAACAATGTATGGCTGTGGCTAAATGAAATTAAAGTGAGGACAGTGCAGTGGGAGGTTAACACTGCCCAGTCCAGTAGAATCAATGGGACTCACACACATTTTTTCTCGCTTTCTGGCTTTGTCACATATTTTCACACGTATACATGCCCTGTTTTAGCACCCTTCCTGAGAGCAAAACATTCACTATCTAGTTTCTAAGTTGTATAAATATTGAAACATA